AGTCTGTCCGTGTGTGGTGACATGAGGGAGTTTTCATCGTGTCTTCTGACTGCTAGTTGGTGTTCGCGGATGTGCTCTGCAAGCCTTCTGCCCGTCTGTCCTACATAGTGTTTGTTGCAGTCCTTACACTGTACGTTGTAGATGACTTTTCTTCTTGTGCTATTGGGTCTTTTGGTTTACTTAAGGTATTTTGGAGTGATTTTGTTGGTTTGTGTGCTACGGAGATGCCATGTGGTTGTAATAGTCTGTTGGTGGTTTATGAGACGTTTCTGATGTATGGCAGTGTGATCCTTTTCATAGCTTGCGTAGCTTGTGTTGTAGTAGGTTAAGTGGTCAGGCACTTTTTGATAAAGTTGTGTAGTTATCCATTTTGTTAGAAAATGTTGTATAGGTGGTCTTTTTCCTTTTTCTGCTGTTCTGGGTTGCTGCAGTGCATTTGCTCGCTTGAATAATGTTCTTACACAGCTCCTCTTGTGGGAGGTCAGATTGTTACTTTGGTAATGGAGTACTTGATTGGTGTGGGTTGTCTTCCGATAAACTTGCAATCATCACCCAGATAAGCAAAGGTTACCACCACACACACAATCAAGCAGTAAACATATGCTAATCAAGGAACTACCAGAGGAGCAAAACAAAATCCCCACCGCCACCAGCACTGGCAAGGCATGCCACAGTATATAAATAGAGAGCAAACTCCATTACATTTTAGCACTGAAGATGTTACCTAGCCAGGTAATGAAACGTTTGCAAGAAAAGAACCAAGTTCAGAGAACCTCAAGGACTCCACAGACTGACATTTTTCAATACCCATGGTGGTCACCAAGGTTCTTCTCATTTGAAGGTCATGTAGTTCCTCTTCCTCAGATTATAACAAAATATCATCCTTTTTTTTTTTCTACACAGGCTATTTTTATGGAATTAAACTTTTATACAAAATTCTGCAATTGTCAAGGAGGTCAAATTTATTCAGAAAATGGACCAGATTCCAATTTTTAAAAAATATATTTTGAAAAGATCCTTCCAATTTGCTTCCCAAACTAGTTTTCTTTTCCTGTCCTAAACCATATGGGAGAAAAGACTTGAGTAGAATGAGACCCTACACCCCTTTGCGTCCCACTCACTTCACGGCCAGAGAAGAATTTAAGTGATTGGCCGTGCTTCTGGAAAAATGAAGAAATCTCAGCAAACAAACAGGTAACATCACTGCCTGAGGTAGTTACCTTATTTGACCTAATGATAACTGAAGCCTGTATTTCTAAAATATAGAAAAATTGTGGAACATTGGAATTGCTTTTTGCTGTAGAACTAATAACAGTTTATCCAAGCTTTATCATAGCTGGCTTAATTACAATCTATTAATTTAGAACTCTTTGGTTAACCAAATTAAATACAGGTAGCCCTCACTTAATGACCACAATTGGGACCAGGAACTCCATTACTAAGCAACATGGTCATTGAGTGAAACATCACGTGACTGTTCCTGACTTAAGTCAGTTCCGCTGTGGTCATTAAGTGAATCACCCATGATCGTTAAGCATGACGTCACCTGACTATGACTTGCAACTTACTGCCAGCTTCCCCATTGACTTTGTTTGTCGGAAGCCAGCCGGGAAGGTTGCAAATGGTGATCATGTGACCACAGGACGCTGCGACCATTGTAAATGCACACCTTTTGCGGTGCCATCATAAGTTCAAATGGCTGCTGAATGAGGCAGTCACTAACCGAGGACTACCTTTATTTCTTGAAATAAGGTAATGTACACAAAGGTTCTGAAAAGGTTTATTCTCTCCAAATGATTGCATCGGATTCATATGTTACAACCAAAGCAAAGTCCAAAAATTTAATATGGCAGTTTTGCTATCTTTGCAAGTAGTCACAAATACTAGTTTGAATTGCGTACCTGTGTGGAAGCCAAATTTCTGCTGCTGAAAATTGTTCTAGGTAAGTATCCCATTGTTTAAGGAGGCCATACGTATCAGGCTGCACTAATGGAATGCTCACACATTGTTCCCATCCATATTCAGCTATGGTAATACCAGTTTCATTGTAATTGTACACCAAACCTATAGATAAAGCAACAGATGCAATCAGAAAGGCAAAATTGCTGTGTATGTAATGGTAATATGGAAGGCCTGATTATCATACATTAGTGACTAGCTCTTGTAACATTTTCATTTCCTTTACAGACATGTACTAAAGCTGTGGTCTGAAAATCCTGGTTGTAAGAATCTAGTGTAGAATAGTGGAACAAATAAACAAATGTGACTTTTTGACCATCCAATTGTCTAAACTGTTGGGGTCTCAAAAGCACTAAAATATATCATTTTGAACAATGGAAGGATTATTCAGATAATAGAAACAGAACAACTGAATGCTAAATTTGCTTTTTAAACATAAAATAACCTTTCAGAGTTTGCCATCTTTTATCCATCTTCCTGTTTTGAATGACATAACTAAATCTTTCAGGCTTGTCCTGAAAGCCTGCCCTTCTCCTACAAGGTACACCCTTATGTGCACAACATCTACTCTTATCCTACATATTGCAGGATGAGGGTAGGCTTGCAGGCAATAGCTTATAGTAAACATGCCAAATTTGCAAGGCAAACCTGAAAGATTTAGTCACATTATTCAACATAACTATCAGCAAACAAAAAGACTGGTGGAGTTTTAGTGAGTAGGCTAAATCTACATGTATATAAAGCCTATGTTCAGTAGGAAACCTCTTTCTTTAATTGGAATTGTTGTATAGACGAGGTAAAGAGAAAAGATGATAGAAGGAAAGCAGAATAGTTTGAAAAGTGAGAAAGAGGCCCAGAAATGGTTGCTACAGAACAGATACTAATACTGTCAATAAACAATGAGAGAAAGAAAGGCAAAAGAGTAGCATTAACACTCCAGAAAGAAGCCAATGCCTCTGCATCCTATGTGTAAAAAGAGGCCAGTGGCCTGAAGAATGGAGGCGCAGAGAACCATCTTAATTGCCATGTTGTCAGTACAGATGTGTAAACATTCCGCTGTTTCTTGATCAAAAAGCATCCTAGCCCTTAAAAACACTCAAAACTGAACTTTTGCAAAGGTTTGAGATTCAGCAAACATTTGAATTTAATAGTTTCAAAAATATTGTGCTTCCAAATTTACCCCAATCTTCATCTTCCCCAAGGGCTCATTAATTTACTTGGCACAAGGCACAGAAGGGTGATCCTCCCAGGTGTTTCCCAGTTCCCACTGAATATATCCAGCCCCAAGGCACACTGTCTCCCCACTTCTTTCTCAGTGGGGTAGGTTACTGGACACTTTGAAAAGAGGGCTGGGCGTATGCAGCCAGACTCACTTCTGTTCTGATTTTCATTGCTACCACTATCCCTGTTTGCATGCCCACAACCCATACCATCCCTAGAATCAAACTACCTTTTAAAAATTATTATTTAATTGCTTGCTGATAAGTAGTGAGCTACATGGGTCCTCCTAACTGGAAAATGCTTCAGGGAAAAATCCGCAAAACTCTACTTTCCAACAATGGAAAGAGATCTGGCCAACAATGAACTGTGTTTCAGCTGAAGGGAAGGAGTTTTGAGTTGCAATGCTGCTACCAATGGAAGGGAGTGCTATCAAAGTTAGGAAGAAATAGGAGCTCCAGATATTCATAGTTTATTAGTAAGGAAACAGCTTTTCTCTTCCTGTGTTGCAACTTTGAAAATACTCTTCCTAACTGTAGATAGGGCACGTATTTATTTATTTAACAAATTTGTATGGCCACCCATCTAATCAATGGAATTTTGGCCAGCAAACAGAAAAACACAATGATTATGTACCATCAAGTCAATGTTGACTCTTAGCAACCACGTAGATAGGTTTTCTCCACAATACACAATCAAAAACAGATTACATGAGGCCCCTGTAAAAATTCCTTACCTACATAACAAGCACACATATGCCAAGCTTCACTAAACATCCTGGCTACAGTGCCTGGGGGGAAAGCCAGGTCTTTATGGCCTTCTGGAAGGCCAGCAGTGTTGGGGTCATCAAATCTCTGGGGGAGGGTGTTCCATCAGACAGGCAGAATGACAGAGATGGCACATTTCCTAGGTCCCACTAGGTGACACTGCCTCAAAATGCCCATTTCATACTGCTATCAGCATTGCATGTAACCAAGCTATTCTGCAGGATAGAAAATACAAATTGTCTGTCCTTTACAGTATATACTTACAATACACAGAGACTTCATATTTAAAAGGTTAATTATACATTTTTCTTACCATTAGTATTGGTTATTCCAACATGAAGGTCAGAATCGCCATCATAATCTCTGAAAAGACATTTAATATGTTTCATTTTGGAAAAACATTAAATGTTAGAATTTTTTTTTCATTTATTTGAAGGGTTGTTAAAAAAAAATAAGCTGGATACAATATAATGCCATTAAATCACTGTTCAAATACAATTAGAGATACAAATGTTATTTGATTGGCAAGAGTAATTATTTCTAAAAAGCTACTAATTGAATAAAAAGTTTTCCCAGTAATCACATGTATAGACTCCACCTCTTATATATTGGTGCTTACCTTATATTCAGTAATGATAGAAGGCAGTTTCTATGTGCCTTGTTTCCAACCACAGAATAACAAGGAAGAGCCATACCTTAGAAATGTTCCTGCAGTGGGCTTCAGTAAAAAAGAACATCTTTCTCGGTGTCCATTAACAAATGGGCTAGGGATACTGACAGGTGCTTCTTCCAGACTTTTGTAAATCAGCCTCTGCCCACACAATGGGCAGTTCTCAGGAACAAAGAAGCCAAAAATGTCTTTGTCGCAGTGGGTGATCTTAATTAAGGCTTTCTCTGAGTCCAAAGGCTGCATTTCACTCCCGCCTTGAGTAAATGAACCTGCCTTCCAACCTATATTTAATCAATAGAAGCAACTAGAATTGGACAGGGAAAGAGGGAAGAGATTAGTTGAGAATGACAGCTCCCAGTACCAATCCTTCCTGCACTGTGGATCAAATTAGCAAATGAGATACAAGCTACAGGAGGGACAGCTTTTCCCTGGACATTCTTTTAAAGAGATATTGTACACTTTTTGTATTAATTGTATCTGGTACCTGTGCACTGAGTTAGTTTGATAAATAGAAACCATCACATTTGTCTGATGTTAGTCTGTAGAATAACCTCTGTTAATTAATGTTAAACAGATATATCTTTGTAGATCTCTCCCTTGATTAAAGTAAGGAATAAACAAGTTTAGAATTGCCACCATCTCTTTCTAGCACAGCTCTTCTGACTTTTGCATCACAGGCAAAAGTGTAAAACTTTTTCTATTTTTCTAGTTCACTTGGTCGTAAAACCAAAACTCTCCAAATGTGACCCTACTATTCCTGTTGGCTATGCTGGCTGAGAATTCAAAGGCTGCATTTCACTCCCACCTTGAGTAAATGAACCTGCCTTCCAACCTATATTTAATCAATAGAAGCAACTAGAATTGGACATGGCTGAGGAACTGCAGCCCCAAAATACCAGGAGGGGATCAAATTGGAAAATATTGGTTTTGTCTTTGGCAGGAAAAGATCAGCATCCTAAATTTATTGCCTGCCTTTCATGCTGTTATTAAAGCATGGGGGCTCTATCTCCTTTTACTGCTATTTTATTACCAATTTGAACAATACAGGGCTATTTTGACAAATGGATGAATGGAAAAAAGACATTGCAGACAACTCACAATGTTGTCCAGTAGGAACATAGACACAAAGACAGAAAAGACCAAATAAAAGTTATTAAGATTTCCAGATCTGAAACAACTGCATACTGGTGATAAGCTGCCAGAGAGCAGAGAAAACAAGGACCCAATACCGCAAAATTTCCCAAAAGCTGTCCCCATTTCTAGTTAGCTGGTACTGTTATGAGACCAATATAAACTACCATCTGCATACTGCATTGGTTAAACAGCATCTCCACAAAATAATACACAAATACAAATGTATTTATTATAAATGGATACAAATGGCATAAGATCAAGAATATTCAGATCCCAGTTAGAGGAGATATTGATTTTCCAATTATTGCCTGACATACTGAGATACTTATGAGACCAGAGGGTTCATTCAACTGCTTCTCTTCCAAAGCAATATAAACTACCATCTGTCCTGACCTTTACAGCCATGAGACTAACACTTTCCTGATCTCTATGCCCTGCCTTTTAATTTATATATATTACAAGGCAACAACAAAAGGAGAATCCAGCATGAAGAGTTTGGGTTATATAGAATGTAGGTTGATTTAAAGGAGAACTTAAAAACGTAATTATTGTATCAGTGCCAGAATGATTCTCAGGGTTATTCCACATACAACACTGAAGCTTTGGCATAATCATATTTCCTGCATTTCCTTTTTCCTTCTATATTTTCCTGTGCGTGCATAGAGTACACACAAGAGGGACTTGCTAATTAAGATGCATCTCATAAGCTGAGCTCTGATGCATATATATAGCTCAACACTTCAAGGTATGTCAAGATAAATCCGTTAATGTTCCGATTTCACACCATCTGATATTTTTCTTTTTGCTGCAGCCTAAACACACTACTGTAACTAAACATATCTAGGTGGGCCTTGCAGATTGCAGGTCTATTTCGCGCCTCAAAGATGAGAGAACCAAAACCAGATCCTCTCCTGCTGCTTGTGTTTTTCCCCCCTACTCCGTCCCAGATGGGCAACTTGAACTATCTAGACCTCCCAAAAATCGCAGATCCCTCAACTCCAGAATTTTAAACTGGAGAGGCGCTCTAACCCACAATCTCGCTTCCGCCACGCAGCCGACGTCCCGCCTTCAGGATCTCCACGCCCCGCCCTTGAATGTATAATATACCCGGAGACCCGCGTTAGTCTATGGTAGCCAAAAAGCAGAAGGAGGCCGACCGCCTCTTTCCCGACTGACATTTTTTATTAAAAGGCGCGAGCTTTCTTGAAATTTATCAGTCGGGAAAGGGGCGGCTGGCCTCCTTCGGGCCTTTAATTTATCGTAAACGGCTTTTCTGGTGAAGGATCGGCAACTGCCCGCCCTCCCAGGTGAGAAGGAAAGCACCTCTCTCCTTCTCTATGGTAGAGTGCTTCACCTCATAACTTCCGGCCGGAAACCAGTTCCTGTAGCAAAGGCCCGGCTCTCTTTGTTGGGCTCCCAAACAGCTTTCCCTTCCTCTCCCCTCCCCAGCGCTACATCGGAACCAAAATGCGAGGAGCCGCGCAGGGAGAGGACCACGAAGCAGGAGCGGCGCCAAAGGAGACATGAGCACCACGAAGGACGTGACCTGCAGGTCAGAGGGAGCAGTTACTGCACCGTCCGGGATGAACGCTCTGCCTTCCTCCCCAACCCGAAAAACGGACGGGCGTTTGGAGACGCTCCGCCCACGGGGAATCGGGGGGACGGAACGGGACCGAGATGCCTTCCCGCTCCTTTCCCGCCCTCCTTGCCGATCTCCTCCACCTCCGACCAAGCCGCGAGAGGAAGGAAAAAGCCGGAGAGCTGGATCGCCGATGGCTTCCTGTCCTTATTCCGCTTACTCTCCAGCCCAGACCTTTCACGCTCCCTCCCCCCAACCTCTTTCTTCCCCCAGCCCCTGAAAATGCCCATTACACGTAGGAGAGCTTTCTCCTTAACCGGGAAAGTTATTGAGAGCCTGATTTCCCCTTGCTTTAAAGATCCAGACCCGATTTTCCCTAAATGATTATTAAAGGACAGTGTTGCTTAGGGCCGGGGCCTTCGTGCAACTGGCTCAGAAAACACCTAAGCATCTCTGCAAATCAGTATCAGGTGGTTCTCTTAGTTACCTAGCATAACAGATTGAAATTTGAGACAGGATGGAAGTATGATAGTAATCTTGTTGATTGCTGATTTGCCCCGAAGTCCCTCGTTATTGATAATCAGGGTAAGCTTTTTAGGATATAAACTGTACAGTAGAATGTACATTTACCAACATGCATTCAAAATCTTAAAATATATTTTGTAAGTTCTTTTAAAAGTACCAATAAAATAACATTCCTAGAGAAATCAGTCTAACCAGGTTTGAGCCAAGAGTTCAGAATCCACCTCTCATTTTAGGATTTTTGTATATTTCAAATATACAAATATTTCACATTCTGCTTTTCTAAACTTTCTGGAGGAAATCTTGGCAGATTTGTCTCACAGACTTGACAAATATTGAGAGAAAAAGTATGTATTTGACATCTGTTGCTGTATGTGACTCTGCATTTATATTGTTGTAGGTATTTTATACAAGGAGTATGTCGTGAAGGAAATAGGTGTCTGTTTTCCCATGATTTGTCTACAAGCAAACGATCTACTATCTGCAAATTCTATCAGAAAGGACAGTGTGCCTATGGAACTCGCTGCAAGTATGAGTTGTTGGTTTTCAAGATAAAGCCTGCAGTTATTTTATCATGCTAAAGACACTTAAGAAGCTGTTTATTGTTTGTGTACTCCTCAACCCAGTGCCAGTGCAATTCTCATAATTTCTTGCTAGCAGTGTTTGCTGTGGGATGATTGTGAACTGAAGAAATCTGGGAAGGGCTCTTTTAGAAGAGCAGCTTTAGACTTTGAATAGCTGTTTTAAAAGAAACTGTGGAGAGATGTGGTCCATAAATAGGTTTTGTCTTTGGTGAGATGGCTTTCTAGAAGTTTGCAAGTTTAGCACTCCAATCATATGCATATCTACTCCAAAATAAGTTAAATTCATCAGGGCTTGGTCCCATATAAGTGGCAAAAGATATCAGTCTCAAAGTATGCTAATATAATGCAGTGTTCAGACCCCAAGTGGTTGCTTTAAAAGGAGGAAAGACACTCTTGACTTTGTAGTTTAATTTTAATTTTAATTTTTTTTTTACTTGAACTCCAAAATCCAGGGTCAGGTATAAATTATACATTAAACTACTGGGAAGTCAGAAATCCTGTAAAATACCCAGAGATCTATCAGTAGATTCGGATTTAGTTTCTTTATATTCACATCCTAAAGTCTTAACCCTGTACATGCATGGAAGTTTATTTTATTAAATTCAGCAGATTGAATTAAGATTGTTAAACTGGAATACACGACAATAATCCCTATTGAATTTAATGAGTGTCGGTAGAGGACCTACTAAACATGGTCTTATATAGGTGAAGTTTTTTTAATCATTTGGAGTTCTAATTATATATCATTACATTGCTTTACAGTTATGTTATATTGAACTTTGATATAACGTTGACATAGGATAAGGTTTTTACATTATAACTAAAGCCATATATAAAGATAATAACTAAGGCATTGAAATAACTAAAAGCCTATGAATTCTTACTCCTTTTATCTTCAATATCTTTCTTTTAGGATTAGAATAATTTAAGTTTCTGTTTTCAGATGGTCAATTCTGTGAAACAAATCCATATTGCAAGTATTGCTATCTTTGGAATCGTTAGAAATTTTACAATAGAGTATTATCTTTGTGTTCAGCAAGCATGCTGACACCAATGCCTGTAGCATTTATACTTTATTGTTGTTTCCATTTGTTTTTAAGATATGATCACATTAAACCTCCGGGATCCTCTGCATCCGGTGGCACAGTGGGTTCTAGGCCACTTTACATTTCTGCACCACCATTCCAAAGGCTTAACTCCCCATCAGAGCAAAATACAGCTGTTATCAAAAGTAAAGTACATGAATCTGGAAAACGTGAAAAGAAAACCTTAGTGCTCAGGGACAGAGGTGAGTAAGAATGGGTCATTTTTAAAATGAATCTTCTTTCCTGTACTGGTTCTTAAAAAGGTAAAGTCTTTGAATCAGGTTCTACTCCTGGTTACATTACAGACATGTCCATATAGTTTTCTTGACAGCAATACAGAAATTGTTTATTGTTGCCTTCTGAGATTTTTTTTTTTTTTACTTTTCAGTCTAACCTGCAACACTGGTATTTCCTGGTGGCCTCTCATCAAAATACTAACCAAGCGTAATCCTCCTTAGCTTTTTGAAGTCAGCCAAGGCCAGCCATCTAGCTAGACTTGACAAATACTTAATGTCCTATTTTCCAGATGTTTCAAAATAAATAGACTTATGTTTTCCAAATAAACTGTTCTACTATGAAAATTGACAGATGCAGATGGTGGTAGACTGTTTTCTTCTGTTGTGTGTCAATATTCATGCTCTTTATATTTCATTTGCCACTAATGGTAAATATATCATACAAATAAAAAAGTGCAGTATTCAAGCCAAGGGTGGATACATCCAAAGTATTTGCTTCACCAGACATTTGAAAATATGAGACACATCTAAATACTTTATTACCGTTCTTCGCCAGCTCTCTGTAGAACCAAGTCCTTGGAAACATATGGCAGTTCTCAGCATTCCAACCATTAGAGGCATAGTTCACCATATTGGTTAAGAAAGCTTTATGCCAGGTTCAGGTAGTAACCCAACAGCATATTTGGTCAGAAATAACCAAGCTTCAGTTATCCATGTTCTTGTAACCTCCTGCCTGGATTATTCTAATGTGTTGTACATACATAGGACTGTTCTGAAAACAGTCCATAAACTTAATCCAAAAATGGCTGTATGGTTG